GAGGACGTGATGTGTCAGCTAATGTACAGACACACTTTTCTCGTTTCCTCTTTCTGTGTCCAAAAGAAATCCATTCGTTTCGGTCAAACTGCCGGCTGTAATTGCACTTAAGTTAGTCGTCGTCGCACCGAGCGAACGGGAGACACTTTATTTCGCTTTGCGACTTTTGCCGCGTCGCCTGCATGCAACACATACACACGTACAAAGAAGGACGGTCAACACAATTGCTAAATCAATAAAACCAACTCGCATTGCTCGGTCAACCAGAGTTTTCTTGAGGACACTATCTAAAAATTGAGGAAATTGAATTTTTCTCTTAAAAATCCGATATTTCCATATGAAGTTTAATTATATGATAATAAAAAGTAAAAAAAAAATCAATGTAACATTTATTTTTCTCTATCAAAATAGAAATTAATTGCAGTCGAGCAGGAAAAAATTGGAACAAATTAGAAACAGGACGCTACTTTTTCCTTGGATCCGAATTCATTAGCAACGAGAGTAATTAAAGTTCGCTGGAGCAAAAGCCAATAGACGCAACAACCCTTATCGTGGAGTGGAAGACGTTGGTCCCTTTTTGGCTCCGGCACTGCACGCACACGGCCGAGAAATTCGTCCTTTCGCCGCCACCCCGTGTATATTTATATGTATGGATGTGCAAGTGTAATGGCGGCTATTTTGCAGCTGGGTGCTGTAATCTCGTTTCCGGCGCGCATTATCATTATTTTCATTGCTGCGAGCGAGCGCACACGCCGCGGACGACGAGCCTCACGACTTTTTATATCTGCACTAAAATGAAATAACTACCGCCGAGATTAGGCCGGGACCTTCTTGAGCCACCAGCAGTAACACATACAAGTCCTGCTAGACCAGCCAAATGTCGCAGCAAAAAAAGCGCACTGCAAAAACCAAAAAGATGTAAAATAATATTTTATATTTTAGATAGAAAGAAAATTAAGCCAGAATAGTTAAAGTTTATAATAATTAATTGCAATTTCTTATTTTTTAGTATAGTAATCGATCGTTTCAAACACTTTGATTAATGATGAAGCTATGTGAAAATATCACTTAAAAAGTTTTGAAACTAAAAATTGTCAAATAATTAAAATTTTGAAGAACAAAAATCAAGCTCAACACAAAATACAAAATTTTTCTTGCAAATTGAGTTGATTTATTTAAGTTAAATACCGTTTAATTTAAATGATCAAATAAGGTATTCGAATGGAAGATTTTTTTCAGTGTTTTTGAAAGAGAGATTAAGGGTGATTGTGATCTCTATTCCCTTAAGAAATAAACCCATATACAGTGGGTGGTTGAAAACTCTTTAGCGGGTTTCCAGACTTCTCTCTCGCTCTGGCAAACTAGCCAAGTGCTATATTTATTTTCCATCTCCGCGAGCCAAGAGCAGGAAATCTGTGCCTGCAGTCTGAGCAGATATGCAGTCCGCACGTCCCGCGTGCTCAGCGTGGCTGCCTATCTCGCAGGCTGAGCGCTCAATTGTGTGTCGCTGAGGCAAAAAAAGTAAATGAGATTTTCCTCGACAGCATCCACGCTCGCGAAAGATTGCATTTTTAAGCCGTTAAGCGCACACGTGCCGCTCGCAATCTGATTGGCCGAGAAAACACACACACATGCACACACACGTTCACGCGTTGATAATTTTCTTATAATGCAAGCACCAGAAAATACTTTGCTGGCTGCTCGCTCTGCGACAAGATTTATACAACGCGACTTGCATCTCCTTGGCAGATTGCGCAGATGGAAGATGAATTTGCATGCACACGAGTGGTCTCGGCAGAATTATGGTGCGCAGATTTCATTACGGAACTTTTATCCTCGGGCAAAGATTTCGTTCGTCTAGTATGTGGCCGATGCAACCTATTTCTAACCAAGAGTAATCCGCGTCGACTAATACTTTTGTCTTGTGATACATTGTTCTCGGGAATTTAATATGACGAGACGGAAAAAGTGCGCGAGACCACTTTTGAAGCGGAGAATTTAGCGTGGGTATAATACTTTGCAATAATAAAAGTTTCGCTTTGTGCCGCAATCCGCGTTGCAACACGAGAAGCGACTTAGGAAATTCGCCACCAGGAAAAAAAAGTTAATGAAACTTTTATAACAAGCTTATTTTATTTTCTCCGCGGGTGCAGCAAGCGTGGGAAGAAAATTATTTTGAGCAGTTTGTGACCATGAAAATTAGGCAGTGGTATCTTTGAAATCCTCGTTGTCAGGAAGATAACATTAATCCCTGCATGGAAATAAATAAAATAAAATTTTGAAATAAATTTAATTATATATATGTAAATAAATAAAGCTTTTCACTTATAGTTTAAAAACTCATAATTATTTATTTAAATAATTTATATTAAACTCTGGTTGTGGTTGCTATCAGAAAATATTGAACGTTAACAAATCAAATTTTTTTTCTCATGAAAAATTGTGAAAACTTTTTCAATAATGACAATCATAATTTAAAAAAATTATTCATTTCCTAGAATTTTATGCAGAGAAAATATTTTTAATAATGAAAAATATTCCAAACTTGAACGTCTGATACACATTTGTCTGCTCTTTTTAATTTAAGCAAGCTATTTTGTTCATGAGAATTTCCGTAGAATAAAAACAATATCAGGAAACAGTAAGGAGGTTAACATATTGCTAGTGCTTGAGAAATGTATGCACAACTGCAAAAACCAAGATAAATTCAAGATTCGTTTTTAATAGGAAGGCAGTCGCTCGACGAGTAGAAGAGTAAGTTGCACATTTTGTCCGTCTTATTCCAGCCAGTGAATTGCGAAATTTCATCTGCCAGCCAGCAACGACCTCTTTTTGTGCAACTCTCTCGGTTGTTGTTGCTCTTCGGATTAAATAAATGGCGTTTGCATTATCCAAAGCGCCAACAAGTTCTTATCTCTTTTCTTCGTGTGCACATATAAACACAAATCCACCACTTTTTCTCTGCAGCTGCCGCGCGCAAAGGAGGTTGGTTGGCGAAAGGCCGGAATTGCACGCGAACAAGTTCCATTCAGCAACTACGTTCTATCTACTCGGTATGCTACTCAAGCGAGAGCCGCTGTGTATTTTCGCGACGATGGTGTGGACGCCGAGGTGCAATTTGGAGAACGGACTGTCGTTGTTATGCGAGGCAAGGACAAGGAGAGCGCAGTGAAATCAATTTTGTTTTTTCGCACGGAACGCTCGCCAGCACACCGCTGAAAGAAATTGAATTGGAAAGATATGTATGGAAAAGGCAAGGAAAATGTCAAACGTTGCAAGACTCCATTATGTGACGCTGCAGTATGTTGATTTTCACCCTTGACACATTTATAAATGTGATCTCATTTGCAGTCATATAGCGACATTTTGCTTTTTTCTCAAATGATTCATAATTAAACGTTGCTTTTACAAAAAGAGCAAACATTAAATTAATAAAATTAAATAATATTTCTTAAGTGACCCAACAATTTTCTACCTGTTTATATATAACAATTAAAAAAAAATATCTGCAGTATATAATTATGAATTTCATCAATTTAATGAAAAAAGTGTTAAATTTGAAATTTGACTAAATTTATATTTTATGCTAGAAAAAAGATGGTTAGTAAAAATGTAATTTTTGCGTATATTGATCAATATAATTATAATAATTTTCTAAGGAAAAGTAATATTAACATTTACAGCAAGATGATTTAAATGTTAATTATTTCGCATCCAAAGGTATCCTGAATCTTTTGCTCTAATAAACAAGGATTGAAATTACATCATTTTTGAATGAAGTTGCCTCGCACTCCTTCAACATTATTAACTTTGAAAGTCATGCAGTGATAATCCCACATACGTTTAAAGTCACTTTTTGCTAATACAAAACAGCAGCAGAGTGGCAAGTGTGTGCTGGTGCGAGAATGCAATATCTCGCCGCGCCGCATGCACAAAGAGAGAGAGCCTTTACTTGTCAGCGTGCGGGAATTCATTCTGGGGCGAACAGAGTCGCATATATACACACTGCAGCAGAAAGAGCAACAGAGTGAGAAGAGCGGGTATTAATACAAGAAACTTTTGTCATATCTCTTGGTCTGCTCGCAAAAAGCTGCGGTCGGAAGACGGAATTATCACTGCGAGTGAAAATAGGGCGATATATTAAACGGCGGCGCGGCGAGAAAGGCAAATATATCATTTGGTTAGGCCGTGACACTGTAATTCGCCACCCGCCCGCCCGCCGGTGAAAAAAGGCAGTTAGTATTAGCGACGTGAGTGGAATGCGAGAAAGAAGGAAAAATAGAGGAGCTTCTTCCCTCTCACTCTTTGCGAAAGGTGGGAAATGCCCGTCGTGTGGGATGAGAGAGCCTGGAAATGAGCTGGGACGCGCCACCAAAGAGGTCTCCTGAGGTGCCCGAGTAAAAGCGCACTTTAAAAAGCTTGGGACGAAAAAGCTGGTCGCCATTTCTTGTCCGAAACAAAAGTTTCCCATTGCTCGAAATAAATATGATTTTAAATTGTTAAGGTAAGCCAAGTTTTGAAATTGTCCATAATTATTTGGCCGAAGAAATAAAATTTTTTAAAATGTAAAGGCACATTAAGTCTATTCAAATTCATTTAAAACTTGAGTGTGCTGGGTCATATGGACGACCTGACCGAAAACCATGGCGTGAGGAAATTATGCTTCAATTTTAATTTCCGCATACTATTTGCTTAGATTTGTAAATAGATTGTGGTTATTTTGAGGTTGAAAGTTAAAATTTATAACTGCAGATTATCAAAAAGTTTAAAACTTAACAATTATTCTTGTATTCCTAAGGCCAGAAATAAATCGAGTTAAATGAGTAATTTAAAATTCATATCTTACCTATGTATTTTACAAAAATCCAAGATTGACATGAATATTGATTATCAACAGTATCGTATCATGCATATTTCATACCTTAAAAGCAGGTTTATATTAAATAATGTAAACTAATTTATTTTCACAAGGGAAAGCATTTAAATAAATAGTATGTTTCTTTTTTTATTCAGAATGCAATAAAAATATTTTTGTCATGAAAATAAATATTATTTCTGTATACATTTTATAAAAAATTGTTGATTAAAATACATCTTGCGTTTTTTTATGATAAAATTTAAAAAGTAGCATTCATAAAATTCAAATAAAATTATTAGTAAAATAAGAATTACTTTTCCTAGACAATATCTGTAGTTATGGTTGGTTTGGATACACGTCCTCCAAATATTGTGAAAGCTCTTTTGAAAAGAACAAAGTACAAGAAAGGATGGTCACAGTTGAAATTGAAACCAGAAAGTCCTGGAGCGGACGTTAACTCCATTGATATTCCTAAATTATTAGGATTTGGAAAAAATTTAAACTTTTTATTTTAATTCTTACCGGTTGCTGCCGCTGCTTCAGAACCTTCTTCATTGACGTCGATGTATGCTTTTTGCACAATAGAAGTGACACTGACATTCTCATCAGTAATGCCACTGAAGTCAGAACCATTCAAGAATATCAAATTTACACCCATCTAATGTTTGAAAAAAAAAAACAGAATTACAACATCATGCAAATATCCAATTAGATAAAAAAAACCTTTTGCATGAGTGGTTTCAAGTCATGTGAACTCTCAATTTTGAATCTGGGTAGCGAAATATTAACTCGACTCCATTCTGCATCAAAAAGCAATTCGGTCAAATTCTGTTGCCCGAGTTTCCCTTCCAATTCGGTCAAGCCGTCTTCTTTGTTGGGTAAAATAATGACCATGCTAAATTCATTTCCCTATATAGCAATAATTTTGAAATTTGTAAATGATAATTTATTTATTTTAAATGGGGGAAATTCTGGTAAATACCTTATAAGGAATCTCCACAAGTTGTGCATCATACTGATCTAATTTTTTATAATAAAACGCTGAACTTAGGGACATCATCTGCACATTCAAATTGCCAGAAGTTGATTTGAATGGTTTGGTTTCCGTTTCGTCCCTGTCAAATTGTTTTCTCCATTCACCCTTAAAGTAAAGTGCGTTCACAAGGACCAGCCTAGTTGCAGAATCCAAAGGATCTTAATAATATAAAGTTCATTACTATGATATAAATTGCCAGGGATATTACAACCGACCCACAAAAAGTTTTTGAATCTTCTGATTTGTCGCCTCGGCAACCCAGTCATTAATTTTTGTAGTAGCATCAGAGGCGGAAAAGTCAATGCCTTCAATAGTGGTTAAAAACGACTTCTTGAGGGATGCAACATAATTTGGTTTGATGTTGAATCTATCAGCGATAAACGCCTTGTTTGCCATCGTCACAACTGCATTCTCAGTTTTCTATGATATTAATAAATTTATAAATTAAATTCAAATTTTCATGGAAATATTTCTGATTAACTTACTTTCAGACTATTGATAGCCTCAAAGAAAATGCGCTCGACTTCCTCTCTTACAGCTGAAACCTGAAGTGCTTGACGCAATTCTGCTTCAGTTTCACCTCGTGCGCCATTAAGGGCCATGGCAAGCACTGTAAGAGCACTGATTGGCGAGGCCACGACATTTCCCTCAGTCTCTTGTAATTTCTTATTGTTGTAAATTTAAAAAAATACGCATATATAAGATTTAATACTACTATAATTCAGACTTTAAAAAAAACTCATCTTATAGAAATTGATGCCGAAGGCGCTAAATGGTGATGTCTTCACTGGGGAACTCATGCTTGAGTGATTTAGTGGAAGTAGAGAGGCATGCACTGCTTTTTGCTATTTATATAAATTTCAAGGTAATGAAACCACAAAGAGTTTGGGGTTTCCACCAACGGAAGGGTGAAGCAAACAAAGTAGGCTAACCACATAAAGAGCAAAAATTTGAAATATAATTTTTCATATGGCAATGAACCATTAAAAAATTATTGAGAAAGGGATGTTTGATTGTCAGAAATAATGAGGATATTTTGAGAGATGCTAAATTTGCATTTTTAATATTGCATGAAATCATGTTTATATTTAAGTTTCTATGAATGGATTTATAAATGAAATGTCAAACTGAAGCTAAATTTATGTCAAGCATTTTACCCTCATCACATTTGAATATATAATATCATTAATTTTTTTCTCCATCTTTAAAGAAAATGTTTGTTTTATAATCATCAATTGTTTTATTGAGAAATTATATATTTCTTATAATTTTCAAATTTTTTTTTTAATTTGCTTTCCCCAGGTCAGTAAAAAAAATTATAGACATACATAATGCTAACTCCAACATGTAAAGCGACTTGCTTGTTATCTGCACCACTTCCAGGAAATCGTGTGAAGCCACAGATGAACTCTTTGTGGTTATGAAATTTCAAATTTTACGCGATTGCACAAAAACAAATTGAGACCTTGGGTTTCAGCAAAACCTGCTGTTGTGGTTTATTGCTATTCCCAGCCACTAGGCAAGGGATTTAAGAGTTTAAAAAGAAATAATTTTTAGTTTTTATGATTAAGGTTTCTAGTTTAAATAGTTCTTAAATTAACTTTTTCTTTTCAGATTAATAATGTTCGACTTTGTATTTTCTATCCCAATGATATTTTACAAAAGTGAGGTAAATATCAAAATGTTTTGATTTTCTGACGAGGAAATTTTGGACTAGTTATGGGTTCCCCGTAAAAGTGACGGTCGGCTGAAATTGCATCCGTCTACGTCACATGTGAGCTGTGTATGAAAAATTAATCAACTTTTTGTGAAAACCTTCTGAAACGGAATTTACAAAATAATCAATCCCGTTTGGTAATGGAAAATATTGAAAAGACTATAAGCGCGGACCAGCGTGAACGAAATTGGAAATACGATGGGATTATGCGGGTTTTGTGAGTTATTTGGCCGGAAAATCTTCCTATCGGCCGGATAAACATGACGCGTCAAGCCTGGTAGGGTGGACGTGTTTATTTTTACAATAAATTCTCTGGAGTCATATCTGCAACGGCGCGACGTGGCTAGAGGGAGAGAAAGTAATGAAATTACGCCGCATCCCCGTGGCAAAATGACACCCGCCGAAACACGACGGCAATTGTGCACATACACACAGTATAATATAGAAAGTGTGTATGTCGTTTAATAATAGCCGGGAGTTGGCCGACATATTGCTTGATATTAGTACAGGAGAATTGCTAACAAATCAAAAGGGATTATTCTTCTCATGACTTGTGTGAGAAGTCGGTAAGGGGAATTTGGTAAAAGCTGAATATTTTTATGGAATAGAATTTACAAAAAAAAGCATCAGAGGCATTTAGCATATCTTCAATATTAAATTTTAATATTAAACCATTACCATTATAAACCTAAATTTTGAAATTATAAAAAAGAAATAAGAATCCCCTAATGAAACTGACAATAAGAATCTCCCCGTTATGCCAATATTGTTGCGTTTCCACAAATGCACATAATTTACACACCACCGTGCGTAACGATCACATAGGCGCGTAATTGAAATCGCAGCAGCAGCAGAGTAATCCGCTAGTAATGCTGCCTCTGCACACTTCGAATAAATAATGCGATTTGACCGCACACGGACTGAGCTGGCATGGCAGTTGCATACAAATAATAGCCTGCAGTGCAAAAAGTGAGCTTATGAAACATGCATATGGGAGAGATTTCCCATTTGTTTGTCTTGCTTGCTCTGTTTGTGGAATAATATGTTTGTGTATACATATGAATATTATAGTTTTGTGTGTTCCAGCGCAGACCCGAAGAACAAAACATTTATGTTTTGTTATATTAATCGTGAATGTGCGCCCACATCCATGAGCTATTTATGACGCGATGTGTGCTTAGCTGCAGCAACTCGCTCATAAAAGCTTGGTTTTGATGAAGAAGAGGGAATATTCTCGTGGATTTGAAGCAATAGTGAAATATGTTTGCTTTATTGCTCTATCCTGAGTTGATGTATAAAGAAAAGCAGCTTATGTAGTATTAATATTGAGATGTTTTTCTAGGAAACTTGTTTAATACCAACGCGGAAAGTGATTAAGCTTAGCAAGGAGAGCCGAATATGATTTACATGCTAATGTTGATTTCCATTATTTATTAGAAACTGTGAAAAAAGGTTATTTTAATCGGCTTTATCATTATAAAGCGTGCAATATTTTATACTTTCAAAATGGACAGTTTAAAGGAAATATGCCAAATGAAATGAAGTGACTTTGAGTGAAAAGAACTCGACAAACGGGTCCTAGAGACACCTTGCTTTCCCGGAAAATCTTGTGTGTAAGCGAGTAATCAATTGGAGAAATAATAAAAGTGCAGATGTGACGTCGAAAAGAACGCTTTGAGCCGGCGTGAAAAATATTTGCATCACCATTACTTCACCTATATATCCGGCCGACCGATGCACCGTCCCTTCCAATAATTCTTTTGTTCCTTACTAATGACTTGTCACCAGCAAACGCACACACTCATGCCTGCATTCCTCGCGTTCCCCAATTTCAAAAAGTACTTTCCCGTGGGAATTTTGAAATAATTTTGACATATTTGGAATCTACATAAAAAGATGAGATTGGCGCAGTTTGAATCGTAATTCTACGACAGTTAGAAGTGAAAGTAGTTCTGGTACAAATAATTTTTATTCAAAGTTTTTATGTCATTTCGATCTGTTCTGATCATGATTATAAAACTTTGAATAATTTTTATCATCAATATTCAATTTCTTTCATAATGTATGATAATTGATTATTTTATATTGATAGAATTCTCATTTTCTCATACTCCGCCAAATTGACGCGTCCCGCTGTTAGACCGCGCGCGCACAGACTTTTGCGCGAATGCAAATGTTTTTTAGAACGCGTTAATCTAAAGAATTCAAAATTTCACCGTTGGTAGGTAATGATGTAAAGTATGTTTTGATGTGCTAATTTTTAATAAGTCTTAATTATGAGCGGAGTAATTAACGTTTCCGCGAGAAATTTGTTCTGGCTATTTAAAAAATGGAGGAAATTTTTTAAAAATATTAAAATAAAGCGAAAAATGTTGCCAATTAAATTTCCTACAAATTCCTTCATAGATCTGATGACGTCAGAATTTTTATTGCTTATGTACAGAAGACTTAAAGTCAAAAAATAATAATTTTACTTATAACAAAATTTTTTTAATTTTTTTCAAGATAGCCAATCGATTGGAAATTTAATTGTCAGCCTAGCACTTGAATTTCATCAAAAAATATTCCGCCGTTTTGAAATAAGAAAATATTATTTAACGACTCCTCGAACTGCTGAAGAGAGGAGTAGTGGCATCGGCGCGCTCTTTGGAAAGAAAGAATGCAATTTCAAAACGGCTGAATATTTTTTGATGAAATTCAAGTGCTAGGCTGACAATTAAATTTCCAATCGATTGGCTATCTTGAAAAAAATTAAAAAAATTTTGTTATAAGTAAAATTATTATTTTTTGACTTTAAGTCTTCTGTACATAAGCAATAAAAATTCTGACGTCATCAGATCTATGAAGGAATTTGTAGGAAATTTAATTGGCAACATTTTTCGCTTTATTTTAATATTTTTAAAAAATTTCCTCCATTTTTTAAATAGCCAGAACAAATTTCTCGCGGAAACGTTAATTACTCCGCTCATAATTAAGACTTATTAAAAATTAGCACATCAAAACATACTTTACATCATTACCTACCAACGGTGAAATTTTGAATTCTTTAGATTAACGCGTTCTAAAAAACATTTGCATTCGCGCAAAAGTCTGTGCGCGCGCGGTCTAACAGCGGGACGCGTCAATTTGGCGGAGTATGAGAAAATGAGAATTCTATCAATATAAAATAATCAATTATCATACATTATGAAAGAAATTGAATATTGATGATAAAAATTATTCAAAGTTTTATAATCATGATCAGAACAGATCGAAATGACATAAAAACTTTGAATAAAAATTATTTGTACCAGAACTACTTTCACTTCTAACTGTCGTAGAATTACGATTCAAACTGCGCCAATCTCATCTTTTTATGTAGATTCCAAATATGTCAAAATTATTTCAAAATTCCCACGGGAAAGTACTTTTTGAAATTGGGGAACGCGAGGAATGCAGGCATGAGTGTGTGCGTTTGCTGGTGACAAGTCATTAGTAAGGAACAAAAGAATTATTGGAAGGGACGGTGCATCGGTCGGCCGGATATATAGGTGAAGTAATGGTGATGCAAATATTTTTCACGCCGGCTCAAAGCGTTCTTTTCGACGTCACATCTGCACTTTTATTATTTCTCCAATTGATTACTCGCTTACACACAAGATTTTCCGGGAAAGCAAGGTGTCTCTAGGACCCGTTTGTCGAGTTCTTTTCACTCAAAGTCACTTCATTTCATTTGGCATATTTCCTTTAAAGGCGAGTTCCTCACAGAAAATACCAAATTAATGCTTTAAATATTATTACGTTGTTGCTCAAAGTTGAATTCAAATAAATAAAATATTGAAATCATGAAAATTTATGTTAATTATATAAAATTTATAAGCTGATTACAAGGTTATAATATTCCTATTCAAAAATTTCAATCCAATAAAATTTCATGAGAACGGTTCCGTTTTCATATTTATTGGTTAACAGATTGCAAAAGGAAGAAAATAAATAAACATTTATAAACGACAAAATAATTTTTTTTAATAATTCAATACCCATGCGTGCATGGCGAAGATAATCGCAAAAATATTGAAGGAAACGGCCACACAGAATGGGTACTCAAATTTC